CCCAGCCAGCCTTTACCCCTTTTGCAGTATACTTTGTTTCCTCCCTGAATGGGGGTGGAGCGGGGTGGTTAATGCTACACTAGGCTATTTGCATACAAACTACACCACATCTGACTTGCATTGGTATTCTCCACAGTGCTTTGCACAGAGTAGATGCTCAAAAGGGATAATAATACTACTTTAAAGGTAAGTTTTTACAGTTAAGATATTCTTTGCATTCTGCTGAACATTTAAGATCGTCGAGAAAAACCTTACAATTTCTAAAACTGGCCCTTACCTCTCTTCTTCGGATATTCAGAACCCAACTGTGTTTTTATATTGTATCTAATGGTTTAATTGACGTATTTATCTTTCGTTCAAATAAAATAGTGTTTTGGCTGAATAGTTATCTTAAAAATGCATTAGGAATCCAGTTTATTCTCAACTCACCCTTTTTATGATGAAAGAAAGATTAAATTGTTAGTAAAGGCGTTTTAACAAGAATGCAGAGAATGTGGAGAGCTCACAGGAGTTTGGAGCTCAGAGAATGATGAAAAAAAGTTGTCAACCAAATAGAGCTCCACGATGAGGAAACAATGGTAATTCGTATATTTAAATGAGAAGAATTTTATTTGGGGTAGAAGAAAGAAAGAAAGCTAAACTTGTGGGCTTTAGAACCAACCAGCTACTTGCTATACCAGAAATAGTTTTGCCTTTTGAATCAACTTCTGGGAGGAATGCTTTAGCTTCTAACAGGAAAATAATGGTTAGGTCTTTCCTATCTCAAAGGTAAACAGTTTCTCTTGACCCTACTCCTCCCCATAGTTGTCATGCTGTCTTTTTCACAACCAAGTTTCAAACAAAACAAAACAAAACCCTCAAGGACGCCACCTCCTGTTTTATTCTTTAATACCACAACCACAGTACATTGACTTTTGCCCTGGACCTTTCCAGTGAAACTGCTTTTCTTAAGGTTACCAGGCACGTTCTGATTGCCGAACTTGGTGGACCCTTCACAGCCCTCATCTTTCGTCCTGACAGCTCTGCAAGGCACTCATTAGCGCTGACCATGGTCTCCTCTTCTGTCTTTCAACACCAGTCCCCCTGACCGTCCTTACTTGCTCTGCTTGTTCCCTAAATCGTTAATGCTCCAGTGGTTCTGTCCTCTGCCTTTTTTTCATCCCAGTTTGTCTACGTAATCTTTCTGACGCTGTGGCTTTACAGCGTCTCCCTACATTTGGCTTCCTACATTTCCCTTCTGAGGATCAGGTCCAGAATCCTGAGAGACCGATAAGAAGGTCTCTACCACGGTATTGCACAGGCCCCTTGACTGTAACACTCCCCAAACTGAGCTAAATCTTTTGCATACCTTCCATTCCTGCCTTCAGCAAGGGACATCCCATCCTCCCAGATCCTCGAGATAAAAACTAGTTCTTATCCTCACCTTTCCCTCACCTTCTCTTGAGTGACCACTGGTACTAGGCACTTTTTACATATTATCTATCTCCTGAACGCCTCTAAATCCAAATCAGTACCTTCTTCCTGTTCTCACAGCTATGTTCATAGCACGTATTTACCAAATATTGGATGAGTTTTTGTATTTGTATCATCTTCATGCCAGAAGCGCCGTTACCTGGAACTCACCTTGGCCTCTTCCCCTCTATTCCTCCCTCCATCTTCACATTAGTCTCTCAGCCCCGTCACGTTGACATCCCTTATCTCCGTTATCCATTCCTTCTCTTCATTGCCACCACCACGGCCTTAGTTCCAGCATTCATAATCTCTTATCTAGGCTGTTAATGATTTCCTTGTTTGTCTGCCTTTATTCTTACTCCACTCCGTGTATTTCATTCTCTGTTACTGCTGCCCATAATCTTTCTCAAATTTAAATCTAAGTGTGTCGCAGTCCAGCCTAGTCAGTTCCATCATCATCATTGAAATACAGCTCAAACGCCAGAAACGTGGTTCAGCGCTTGCTTAGGAGACAAGCACCCTGCATACAGCCGTCACTTCAGCCCTCACACGTTATTTGTAATCACTGAAAACGCCAGGCGTTTTTAATACGTCCGTGCTCTCCGATCTGGCTGGATGGCCTCCCTCTCCCCGACCCAAACTCATCCTTTAAGACAGTTCAAACATCACCCTCTTCTAGAAGGCTTTCCTGGCAGCTGCTTCTACCAGGCAGTCGAAGGCAGCATTCTGCACTCCCCGCAAAAAAGCTCGTGTCATTTCTCTCTTCTGTCTTCCTGTTTAGACTGTGAGCTCCTTGAGGTCAAGCACTGTTTCTGCTTTTTATTTTGACATAATGAAGAAGGAAAGAGGAAGAGAAGGAAGGGAGAGGGGGAAAAGGAAGAAAAGGAAAAATCAATAAGTGAATTGACCCACTGGTTAGTGTATAAAACTGCTAGGTATTTTAGTCTTGCTTTTATTACCTTTATTTAAATGGGCAAATAATAATCACTTCTTTATCTGCATTAATCTGCATTGCAAAAAACTGGCTAATGGTATCACCAGTAAGGGTTTAAAGTGATCATGTAAAGTAACATGTAAGATGAATTACCAGTTTGTTTATTCTCCCTAAAGAAAGGGCTATCCTTTATCTGTTAGTTGCTAACTGCTTTAAGTGCTTACTAAAATGCTGAATTAATTTCCGTGTTAACACTGAAATATATGTTGATCTTTTATCCTTATTAAGTATTAATATATCCTCAGTGAATTTTTTCAGATATTAAATAGAATGTTTCTCTATAGTACCTTCGGTTCTCCAAACTTTTTTGAAGACAAAAGCGTAAATTCAGTCGTGATGCAGTGGTAGAATTAATTCATCCTTATGCAGCACCATTCAATTCCTGTGCTAGTTCAAGGAAATTTCTATTAAGGGGAAAAAATCTCTTTTGCAGGAGATCTTAACGATAATGCTTTGGTGATATTATTATAGAGCCTTTTTTTCAGATATAATCCAATACTCCTTTGCATGTAGCAGTTGCTTGGTTATAAAATTTCATACCTACTTAATTGATGGTCGTTTGCTCGGTAGCTGTGGAGGATCAAAGGGAACTGAAGTGTATCTCAGTTCTCCGTTTTATAGTTTTCACCCATTAGTTACTTTTCAACTATTCTCATCTTTTTCACCTCAGACATCTCAATCAGGTCCTTCAAAAGAAAAGCGCAAAACTCACCAACCTTCAAAACCACCAGTCCATCATATATACACACGCAGAAAAATATGCAGGAGAAAAGGAGGTGGTGATTCAGAGCTTTTCATCAAGAGGCTAGTCATCTCTTCCCTTCTTTTATTCTGAATGTGGAAGAAGAATTTTTATTAGAGCATAAGAATTTGTTATACTTACAAAGTTGATACATCATAACTGTAGCTAACTGATATAAAATTAAATACATTCTAAGCCTATTTGTTGTCTAGTATACATCATTTGTATACGTGCGTGTTTCAGCATAGCAAAAAAAAACACTAAAAGAAACTGAAAATAAAAGTATAGGTCATCATAGTGTACAGCTGTGGGTTTTTAAAAAATTCCTTCTTGCTGGGCTCTTATGTGTAATTGATAGCACTAAAACCACCTGCTAGGAACATTCCTGCCAACTTACTCCATGTCTGATTAATAAAATGATTCCTAAGCAGCCTTACCTTGGAAAACCGAGTGGGAGGAAAAAGAGGATTCTTGATAGGGTCAGTTTATGTTGGAAAGAACAGTTTATGTCGGAAAACCTTCCGTTTTCCAGGTTGTATTGTATCAGTCAGTTACATGGAATAAATAATATATAATAATCTTATGTAAGCTATTCTTTTGTTACTATACACAAGTACGGGTTCTACATAGACACTGTGGTAGTTAAATTTTCCCAGTTAATGCAGGGGAAGGTAGGTATTAGGTTTTAAGCAACTCTAGGTTACCCACTTGAAATGGCAAAAATCCAAGGCTGGGCTGCCCTCTGGGGCGAAGTAGGTTGGAATGTGATAGAAATAATTGACGAATCTTATGTGTAATAGTGCAAAGCTTCACAAACAGCTGCTTGTGTGGGACTGCAGGGTGAGTGTCTCGTGTCAGTGTTATCCAGCTTTTTAAATGAGGGACAGTGGTCCCCCCATCCGCGATTTCGTTTTCGCCATTTCAGTTACCCACAGTCACTGTCCAGAAACATTAAATGGAAAATTCCAGAAATAATTCATAAGCTTTAAATTTTGCATCGTTTTGAGCAGTGTGATGAAACCTGGGACATGACTCACCCCTTTGTCCAGCGGGTGCGTGCTGTGCACGCTACCAGCCCGTCCGTCATTTAGCGGCTGCCCTCGTTATCAGATCAGTTGTACCAGTAACATAGTGTTTATGTTCAAACGATCCTTATTTTATTCAGTAACGGCCCCAAAGTACGAGAGTAGCGATTCTGGCAATTCAGATATGCCAGACGGAAGCCATAAAGTGCTTCCTTTAAGCGAAGAGGTGTGTATGTATAGGATAAAAAGAGTGTGTATAACGGCCATGCCACCCTGAACGTGCCCGATCTCGTCTGATCTCGGAAGCTAAGCAGGTTCGGGCCTGGTTAGTACTGGGATGGGAGACCACCTTGGAATACCAGGTGCTATAGGCATTAAAAAAAAAAAAAGAATGTATATAGGTTTGCTACTACTCACCGTTTCAGGCATCTATTGGGAAACTTTGTACATATCTCCCAAGGAATGTGGGGGGAGGGGACTACTCTATGCCAGATGAATTTTTAAATAATTAGCATGATTATGGCTTGAGATTCAGATAAGCACCTTTGAGTTTAATGTCATCTTTTGTTCTGAGCTTCTAATTACTTGCTGAGACACTGGCTATTGAAGAATCTACTCAGACTCAAACGGTGTTTGTTCTTTGAAAGTAGCCCTCAGCTTTCTGTTTATCTCCCAAATATTAGTAAAATGAAATAAAAGACACTTAAATTCACTCATTGGCAATTCTTTTCTGTTGGTTTCGAATCTGGAATTTCACTCAATTATTTTATTTTATTTTTTTTTACAGAACTTCCTTATGGCTGGGAGAAAATAGAAGACCCTCAGTATGGGACCTACTATGTCGAGTAAGTTTGTCACCTTACTAAATAGTCCCCCAAATGTTTTGCTTTCATTCTACAGCCTTAGGGAATAGTGAATACAGCACTCGATGCTTGTGCAGTCCAGCTTTCAAGTTTTTCCATGCGGGGAATGAGACGATAGGGGCCTGAGCCTTTATTTCACTGACTCTGGGCTTCCTGGATGTTGGCTTTGAAGTAAATATAGAGAGCTGGAGAGAAGTTGCCCGGATGATTGATGGCTGGAGATGGTATCCTTACTACAGCCTCAACAGAGAAAAGTGCTAGATAGAAAACTGTGAAATGAGGGCACTGGACTAGATGAACTATTAAGGTCACTCCAGCACTACAGCTGTAAGGCTCCGGAAGCATCGAAAGAACTTTAAGGGCAGTGTACCATGTGACTCAGTTTTGAAGTGTATGATTAAAAGTGTTCTCTCTTTTAAGGAGTTAATGAAGGAAAACTTAGTAATTTTAGGGGGGTGTGAAAGTCGCTTCTTACACAGCTGTTATGGTTAAATTTAAAGATAAATATATGTTGGCGTAGAGCGCCGAGCACCTGCCTATGTTAGCCAGAGAAATTAGGATAAGGCCAACATCTAATTTTTCTTTCCCTTTTCTTCATTTATTTTATTGCTGCATTGTTATGACCATTGGGTTTGCTTTCTTTTCAAGTGCTGTAGATAGAATTTTGATCTCAGGCATCTCGTACCAGGCAGATAGTTGCATCGGAAATGTTACTATTTACCTGGAAACTAGGAGTCTGACCCTATTGCTCAGGTAGTGAAGGCAAAATGATATTATTACCTGGAAAAATAGCAGACATGAGAACCTTCTAGTTTTATGATTACTTGTTAATTTTTTATCACTTAGTATAAACAAGTGCCACTTCCTGGTATTTATCTCTAAAGTAGGTATCTCTGAGTCTACGGACATGCCACCTCGAACGTGCCGGATCTCGTCTGATCTCGGAAGCTAAGCAGAGTCGGGCCTAGTTAGTACCTGGATGGGTGAGCACCTAGGTGCTATAGTCTTTATTCTGATGTGGAGGCTGTTCCTTGAGTCACTGTTTAGAGAGATTTTTAGAATGATTTCTTAAAAACTAACTTGTATTTTAAGAAAATGACTCGGTTTGACCCTTAGGTGTATAACTTTACTGTATCAATGTTTTGGTTCCTTTGAAAGGCTCTGCTAATCTTATTTCCATTGTACTATATAATATCTTGCTGATATTGTGATGTGAAAACTATACACATCTTTGGTTATTTTTTTCTAAAGCATATTTAGTTAAAATAATAATTTTTCTCCCTAGTAGTTTAGGCTCTTTAAATTGGGCTTCAGTCAGTTTAACGTACCGTGGACACTGCTGAAGGTTTCTGAGATAACGATGCTCATTCTCTCATTGTCCGTTCCAAGTGAATTTGAATACACGGTCAAGAGGTGAAAGTCATTTGCCTATTTTAAAATCTTGGGCTAAATGATCTGGTTTTCATTAGGCAAGGACATTATATGGAAGCAACTTCAGGGCGAATCCTGAAGTCACCTGCTCTCAGTTGTCATGGAGGTGTGTGAAACAGCCTGCATTGGAGGCAACAGTGGCAGCAGCGACAGGCTTTGGTGTGATCGTTCCCAGGACAAGCTCATTTTACAGGAGGGTAATTTATTAGATTAAGGAAGAGCAGGCTGTCCTCAAGATGCACATTAGCAGGGAGTCAGCTGAGCTGTGGAATGTGGCCGGGTTCCCAGATCAGTTAGGTTTGGAGGCTCTACCGCAGTTATCTGCAGTGAGTTTACTGATGGAGATAAAAAGCTGTTACTTGAATGGCTACTCTCTGGCTTTCTTAGTTTGTCAAACCAGATGGCACGATGATTGCTCTTGGCAGGAGACTCGTGGTAGTAACACCAACTGCAATGGCAGTTTTTCTTTGTAAGTATTTAATTCAGAGGATGAGCTTCTGAAATGGATTGATTTATTTTTTAAAAATAAAATTGGTCCAAAAATTTCATGGCAGGCCTAACATAAGAATGCTTATATATATTTTGGAGAAATGTTGTCTTATTGTATTGCAGTAAATGTCTGGGTGCACTTAGGTGACCAAGTCAAAATATACATCTGCTTTAAAATGGCAAATCCTTCATGAAGGAATAATGATTTTGTTTGCTGAGATGAATTTTAAAAATCTACATGTTATACACAGAATTTTAATGCAGATGAGATCCCAAATTATGTATTATATATTTAATTTTGCTCGTCTGCTACCCTCGTTTAATTTTTCTTATAATCTACAATCTCTCTTCCTATAGTTATACAGAAAACAAAATCTGTTACGTCTTAATAATAACGTGCATATAAGTAAATGAAAAGGAGGAGAGTGTTTTTACTTTTTTTTTGTTTTGTTTTTTGGGTGGCATTTTAATATAGATAGTCTAAGGTGACAGATGCAATTACTCCCTTCGCTAAAATCTTATATTCTTTTGTCTAAGAATTTTCAAGAAAAGGATTACTCATTTGCATACTTCTATTCTCTTCTCCCACACATTATAAAGAGTATAAATACAAATTACTACTTTTTATGTCCCACTGCCTGGGTGGCAAAGTGAGTCATTCTAGCCGATGACATTAAAGAGAGCCAAGGTTCTTTCTAAGCAGGTTTATTCTTTTTTAAGTGTCAGTTTCTAGTTATTTTATTTTTGAAAGATTATGTAAAATGTCAGTACCTACTAATTTTTTAGAATAGTACCTAAGTTAACACCAAAGATCTTCATTTTCACAGAGGCTTAAACAATTCACTCAATTGATAAGATGACCCCTCGTAGTAAGAAGCAGAAGCATACTTGAGTTTAGCGACATCAGAACCCAAAGACTGTCAAGGAGAACTTGCCATATTTAGAGCTCTGAAGCTAAATAACTGCATCTGTCACAGGGTTAACAATGCTAGACGTTTAAACGACATCGAGAAACCTAGCATACCTTGCTCCGAGGGGTTTATTTTGCCCCTGTAGTCCCCGCCTCCACCACCACCGTTAAAGTTCTCAATGGCCAGTCATGTGAAGATTTGGTAATACTCAGCCCATCTAAAGACAATCATCATCTGAAATTCTGTTGATTTGATGTTCAATTTTGGTATTCACGAATATCACTTCTTGCTAAAATAGATTCTACTGGAAAATGCATATCATTTGGCCGAAATACACGTTTGTACTATGGAAGTGTTAGAACATAATTCCCATTGCTTCTGTGTTAGACACAGAAGCTGTGGTCTTAAACACTTGTTGTACAACAGTTGCATTCTTAGCCAACTTCCAGTTGCCAGAACGACCAATGCTCTGCTCCCTCTGTAGAACTTCTCTTGCCCACAGTGTATTGACCACTGTTGGCTAATCGCTTACCATCCGCCTCCCCATGCTTTTCTGCTTTTCCCCACAGACGTGTATGCTTTCCAAGAGTCAATGTGAATGTTCCCAAATCAGAAATACCAGTTGAACTTATGTTGTAATTACTAAATTCATGTGATTATTATATAATTATGAAGAAGTTTAAGTGTAGAAGAGTTCTGTGATATAATTTGATAAAAGCTAATCTCTTAGTTGCTGCTATATCGATGCGGGAGAGTCATTTTGAAAAGTAACCGTAAAATTCTAGACTTCTGTACTCAGATTTCTTCAGAAGTGTCTTTACAGCTGCTTCATTTTAGAGAAACAAAACCCTCCAACCACTAACTGCCTTTAAAAAAATTAGTTACCAACGATTCTTATTGTATTAGATATGAGGGCTTCTGCTACAGTTTTGAAAATGTATTGGCTATATTAGGTACATTTATAAAGAAGCTACAGCGAACGCTTCAGCAGCTTTCACTTCTAGGAATCTGTGGGCTTTTCTTAGTTGCCAGAAGCCCTTTCACTATGCCCTGTCAGCTTCTTTGTATTCCTTAGCCTAGAGATAATATATTTGTCCCTTAAACTATGGTGATGGAATGGGATGATAGTCTATTTTAAGATAATGTAACTCTTTCATCTTAAACTGAAATGCATTTTTTTCTACATTTTACAGTCACCTTAACCAGAAAACGCAGTTTGAAAATCCAGTGGAAGAAGCCAAAAGGAAAAAGCAGTTAGGACAGGCTGATACTGGGTCTTCAAAACCAGGTAGAACTTTTGCCTCAATCTTTACTTCTAAAGATAACTTGTAAAAATTAAAAATAAAAAGAGTAACTTATGCAATTTACATGCCGAATTAATAAAAGTGAGTTTGAACTTTTTATTGTTGGGGCTTTGAAATTCAACAGAGAATGTCTAAATTTTGTCCCTGTGAAGATAGGACTAATCTTAATAAAACATTGGGACATCTTGAGAAGACTGAGATGTTTCTCAAGCTGCTTCAATAGAAAGTATGAAATCGTTGGGAGAAGGGATTAAATGTTCTTGTTATGGGTTTGAGGTTTTGATTTGAAGATCACGTTGTTCCCTAATGTTCAAGGCCAGACCTGTATCTCTCGCTCATTATGAGCTCCTCCTAATCTAACTGCTTTGTTCTAATGTCAGTGACCATTCAGGATTCTTCATGAACCAATGTGAACAAATACTACATCAGTCTACCATATTTTTGCCTACGTCATCGATTCTCAGATGGGATGATAGGGTATTAGTAATATCAGAAACATTTTAAAAATAGATAGGTTCTGAGATTTTGATGAGTCTAGCCATATGTATTTTGAAAAATCTACCCAGAAATTTCTTACATTCTACTCACCCCTCCCCTCCTCCATCTCTCGTTAATAACCAGGTGTCTGTATGGCCATAAGTGTAGTATTGGAGTAGCCCCCCATCTGTGTTGTCCATGAAAGAGTTCTTTCTTAGAGCTCCTCCTCAAAAACATAGTCCCCTCACTTAAGTTTTGTATTTGATTTAGCAAACACTTATTAGTTTAACAAATATTCTTGAGCACCTACCAGATGCCCAGTGCTTCGCTAGGTACATGGCATTAAAAACAGATCAGGAATAAGACAGGTTTTGCTCTCAAGAGTTCACGGTCTAATATAGGAGACAAATGGTTGCAATACATGGTGACAGGTGCCATCCTTGAATGGTAGTTAAATATTCAAGGGGTGGAGTGGGTTTGGATCCCCGATGTGTGACCTTGGATGAGCTCCCTAAACTCTTGGTGTCTCTGTGTCCTCACCTATAAAATAGAAATAACAGCACTTACCTTCTAAGGTAGTTCTGAGTATGCAAATTAATACATGTAAAGTGCTTACAATGGTGTCTGGCAAATGGTGACCGAAAAATAATAGATTTCATTGTTATTAATAGAGACAGAAAAGGTACAATGGTGGCATAGAGGAGGGAGTGCTCAGCTCTGCTTTTGGAGAAAGTCAAGAGGGCAGGGGAACTTTCAAAGCAGACGACACATTTGAGCTGAGTCTCGAAGTGACAGGAAAAGTTAAGTCAGACAGATAGGAATTTTAGAGGAGCAAGAAGACATACCAGGAAGCAGGAACAGAATGTATTAGACCACAGATGATGAAATGATGGCCCAGGAGCCGGAGAGCAGGTGGGAGTGGCTAGAGCGTAGGGTGTCTGTGGGCTAGTGACAGGAGATGAGGTTGTAGTGGCAGGCAGCCGTGAGAAGAAATGAATTTTAAAAAGAAGTTGACTGTGTGTGTCATGTTGCTGAGAAGTCAAGAAAGGTGAAGATCGGAACGTGTACATTGGGTTTGACAACATGAACGTCGTGTCACTCTGGCAAGTGCTAGTGGAGAGCGAAGTGACATTGCAGCAGATTGAAGAGGGAATGGGAGGCGAAGAAGTGGGAACGGCGGGTGCGGCCAGCTGCGTGGAGAGCTTTGACTGAGGGACGGTAGACGGAGGATGTTTACCGGAGAGAAGAATCCCCATTTCACACGTAAGGAGACTGAAACGTTAATAAAGATGACGCCTTTTGCTTGGAATCATAACGAGTGTCAAGCCAGACTTTGAACCTGGCTTTACTGGCTTTAAATGCAGAGTTCTTTGTATCACGACGTGCAGTGCCCGCATGCCCGTCTTCCATGGCAAACATCGGGAGAGAACTTCTCTCTGATACTAAACTCTGAGCTCCCTGAGGGCAGGGACCGTGCGTTTTAAGAATCTAAATAACCGGGCACTCTCCTAAGAGCTGGGCATTAAAGGGAGACTAATAACTCAGTACCTGTCTCTCTGCAGCTCACAATTCAGGCAGAGAAACAGATATATAATTTAAGTAAAGTATAATAATAGAGACATAAATAGTAATGTTTGGAACAAAGGAGAGAGGAATTACATCTGACTATGAGAGGACAAGAAGGGCTTTCTCGAAGCGACGGAGCTCTGCTAGTCCTTGAAGAATAATGGCTACGTTTATTGAGATACCGAGTCAGGTCCTGAATCGGATGCTTTATATGCATCATCTCATTTAAGTCTCACAATATTTCTGAAGGTTATTAATGCTCTTTTCCCCATTCGGATATCTTGCCGGCATCAAATTACAATTGTCTCATGCTTCCATCCCAAGGATATACTTGCCACAGGGACAAAATACCCAAATCCGTGAGCCAGGGAACCTCCTCACTTAGACTGTGTGTATGTGTTTTGCTTATCAACATTTCTCGAGCCACTTAGATTTGCCAGGCACCGTTTCTTATGCTTTCTATGCATTGCCTAGTTTAATTCCTGTAACCATCCCATGAATTAAGTATGATTATCCCCGTTTAGAGATAAGGCAACTGAGTTAGATGGTTAAGTAACATTCTGAGATCGCTCAACTAAATCACAAAGCTTGGATTTAAAATCAGGATTGCTAGCCTGAGAGACCGTTTCTTTCTTCCTCTCTTAGTCTCACTTTTCTATGTTTAATTCTGATAAAACCTACTTCTGACCAACTCTTAATGGGCTTTGGCTGTTTTATCGATACTTTACAAAAGTGAGTGTCCCCCTTTAGCGTTTGCACATCTGGGATCTCATCCGTTATTTCCCGATTTTCTAAGCCCTCAGAAGCCAGTCTTATTCCAGTATTCATGGGGTCTAGAGCGTGGGAGAGTGAACCAGCTAACCGGAAATATATCAATATTTGACATAAAAACAAGAAAGCTACATTTCTCCAATGATATTGTCCCCCGAGTCTTTGTCTAGGTAGACAGTCAACAAACGATCCTATCTACAATCTGGTACTGATATAATCAACTTATATATCTGAATGGGCTTTGAATTTGTCAGTTAAATACTTTTTTTATATAAAGTGTTATCTTGTCCAGACTCAGATTGCTAGTTTGAGTGTCCGAGACTCAACAGGAGCTCAGGAGTTCACGGCGGCATCACCACAAGCAGGGGGACTGGCCAAACAAAATGATATTTCCTGTGGTCGATGTTTCCAGGGCAGCCCTGCCTCCTGAGGGAGCTACTTGCATACTGTATGGCCTGTACAACCAGCTGGAGCACCCCAAGAATTGCTCCCTTCTAACTGGCAACAAGCTTGAATGCTTACCTGCTGGAACACTTAGTGCTAAGAGCAGCGGCAGCAGATATACGTAAATAACTGGGCTTGATGCTAGTGCTGAGTGCGAGCTAAGTATGAAACGAGCCACTCTGTTCATTTAAGTCATTAGGGAAATGGCATCAGAACCACAGTGAGATATCATCCAACTAAACAAAATGGCTATAACCGAAATGGCAGACAGTCACAAGTGCTGGCAAGGATGAGAAGAAATTGGAGCCCTCATATGCTGTCAGTGGACAAGGAAAATGGTGCAGCCACTTTGCAAAAGTTTGGCAGTTCCTCAGAATGTTAGACATAGTTATGATATGTTTATGGTAACCTGCAGTCCCACTCCTAGTATATACCTAAGAGGAATGAAAATATACGTCTGCACAAAACCTTGAACGTGAACGTTCATAGCAACATTATTCATTATAGCTAGAAAGTGGAAACGACCAGCATCCAAACGCATGCTAACATATGCTAAATGTATGCTAATAAACGCATACATAAAATGTGATATATCTATGCAGTGGAATATTATTTGGGAATAGAAAGAAATAAAGTACTAACACATGCTACAACACAGATGAACCTTGGAAACATTATGCTAAGTGAAAGAAGCCATTCAAAAGACCACATTATTATGTGATTCCATTTATATGAAATGTCCAGATTTGGGCAAATTTATAGACAGAGGTAGATTAGTGGGTGCCAAAGACACGGATGTGAGTGCAGGTTGGGAAGAAAGGGGGACTGACTGCTAATGGCCCTGGGGATTTCTCTTTTGAGAAAGGAGAAAGTTTTCTAAAATTGGATTGCGGTGATGGTTGCATAACCTTGATTTATATATACTTTAAATGGCTGAATTCTGTCATATGTGAATTATATCTCAGGAGAACTGTTACAAAATATTTGGCAGAAAATTTTAAACCATCTTTTAAAAAGTTAATTTAAACTGTGTTTCGTAAATCATAAATCTGTACCATTCAGTCCTCTCAAAGTAAAAGACTCTGGGGAAGAGAAGGGAGTCGTTATTTGTATATATGGGTCACTCTTAGTTCTAGAATCATCTAGCCTCTGAAAACAGACTTTTCAATGGAGCTGTGTCTTTTTCTTCCTAAAGGAGCCACTAAACATGAGTGAAAAGAAAGTAATGGGCAACTGTTTACTGAGTTTAGTGATTCTCCTTTCCTCAGACATAAATTCTCTCTGCAGAGAACCTGAGTTGTGAATTCTAAGTTCTTCATATATTCTCTTTCGTAAGTTTGGGACAGTTGTCTTCATCTCGCTAGTAGAGCATTTTCTATCTAGAGCTCAGTAGATGCTTATTCTGATGAAATGAACAGCTGAGTGAGTGTCCGAGACTTTCAAGAATTGAGTAACAAACATTGTCCTTCCCGTTTTGACTTCTTATAAGGGACTCTTTGGGGCGAGAGAAAGTAGGTACCAACAAGGCAATGAGGAGGAGATAAAGTAGGTGCTTTTACCTTTCAAATATCATAGGAGAGTCCTATAAAAGAGAAATGACTCGTTACTTAAGGTTTTTTCAGTGATTTAATTTGCGAATTTAAATTCTGACTGTTCCATAACATTGGATTCTAATTTTTCTTCTTTATGGTTTGTTAATGTAAGGTATATAGACTATCTTGAATATTGGCTTCGAGGGCTGTATTCACTGAAATTACTTTTGTTCTCAAACCCATTTCTCATTCTGGCACAGATATGGAAAAATCTCACTTTACTCGAGATCCATCCCAGCTGAAAGGTGTCCTTGTTCGAGCATCACTGAAAAAAAGCGCGATGGGATTCGGTTTCACCATCATTGGTGGAGACAGGCCCGATGAGTTCCTGCAAGTGAAGCACGTCCTGAAGGACGGCCCTGCAGCACAGGACGGGAAAATCGCTCCAGGTAACCAGGTGTTCAGAATTCCCTGGAAACAAAAACTATAGCGAAAGGATATATGTATTTACATATAATAAATATATATGTGTATGTTGTATATATAGAGAGAGGGAGAACTAAATTATACAACTGAAGGAGAGTGCTGTATTTAAATAGTTCATCCTTTAAATTAAGCGCATACTAACTAGTCTTGAGGAAGGACCATCTTTACAAATAAGTGGAAACTGAGAGAAACGATAAAATGTATTAATTTTTGAATAGTTCGTATAATTTTGAGAAAGCTCTTTGGCTGTACTAAGGTAAAGCTTTATGAACCATCTCAGAACACTATTTGATTGTTTGGTTTTCTTTGATTATGTAGGGTACTTTTGGAGCCATCTAACATTTACCTTTAATCCATTTGAAAAATGATCCATTGCGATGTGTATAGTGATTGACCAAACGCTGTTATATCCCACAATTCTTTCCCAAGTCTAGTTTGTTTGTTTCCTTAGTCTCACTGGTTGTTAGTAAAATTAAGCAGCTACATTAAGAATTTTAGACACAAATATTATCATTTCTACAGCTGTAGCTGTATAAATTTCTTTTTTTATAACATAGATACAGATTTGCCTAAAACTGTTATCTAGTTTACATAGGAATGCAATGCTTCCATGAAAATTTGGGGAACTTTAACCAAGGAAGAGGGAGTCAAAACTTTGTTTCTAATTAGTCTAATTTGTCTAATTTCTGTATCTTCTTAGATTATGGAACAAATTTCCTCAGACTAACATTTGTTTTTAAATACCACGCATGTTGATTTTTTTAAAGCCTACGTACAATCAGAACAAATTAAAGCACTTTTATTTGGCAATAACCTTTTAAATGATTATATTCAAATGAAAGCAACAAATGGGTGAGACAGCAGACGACACATTTTAAAAGTTAGGGCCGCATTGAAAAAATACACAACTGATGACTGTCTAGTAGTGATTCTGCAGCCAAAGTGGTCATAATAAAGGTAAAATCGAGGAAGCAAAACCAACTTTCCCAAGATTAATTTAGCTTTGTAGCGTCTCAATAATGTTCTTTACCTGTGTCAGATTTTTTCGTTGCTTTTTCTCCTTTTGAAATCTGAATTACAGCAAATTGAAACTCTCTACAGAAAGGAGCTAAAAGAAAATCTGTTCGTAACAGCATTATTCCTGTTAGCCCTACATTATGAATTTTTAACTACATTGAATCAGTGGCTTCTTAAAAATCTAGAAACAAGGTGGCGTGTAAAGATTACCTGTTAATACAAGCAGCCGGTGGAGTTACTCGCTCTTCTTACTCGCTGCGGTGTGCCTAGCTTTGTACAGCCACGTAGGTATGACTCAGAAGATGTGCCAACAATGATATGAATTTGCAGTTACTTTTTGTGTGATTCGCTTGAGCTCGAAGTCATAAATCTTTGCTACAAAGATAGTTAAGATATTATATATTTATATATTCTTTTTAGAGAAGAGTCACAGAAGGAAGAATAACATGTCTGTTCAAACTATCTTTTCAGCAGTTAATGAACAGTAAAAGGTGTCCAGAATTCAAATTTAGGAGCTGAATTTAAGTTATCTTTGTCTCCCCCAGTAAAAGAAATGAACTTATTTGGTGGTTTGAATATTTTTCACATGATTATCTTTTACCAGGCGACGTCATTGTGGACATCAACGGCAGCTGCGTCCTTGGTCACACCCATGCAGATGTCGTGCAGATGTTTCAGTTGGTACCAGTCAACCAGTACGTAAACCTCACTTTATGTCGCGGTTACCCACTCCCTGATGACAGCGAGGATCCTGCTGTGGATATTCTTGCTGTTACTCCTGTAATCAACGGACAGCCACTGAGCAAGGGCGAGGCGGGAGTGAATACTCAGGATTTTAAGTCGGGAGCAGCGATTCTCGACCAGAATGGAAAACCAGGACACATGTTGGTCAGCGATCGCCTCAGTGGACCATCAGATCCAAGCGAGCAGAGAGCATCCATGGCATCATCAGGCAACTCCCAGCCCGAACTAGTGACTGTCCCTCTGATTAAGGGCCCTAAAGGCTTTGGGTTTGCAATCGCCGACAGCCCAACCGGACAGAAGGTGAAGATGATATTGGATAGTCAGTGGTGTCCAGGCCTACAGAAAGGGGATATAATTAAGGAAATTTACCATCAAAATGTGCAGAATTTAACACATCTCCAAGTGGTAGAGGTGCTAAAGCAGTTTCCAGTAGGTGCAGATGTACCGTTGCTCATCTTGCGAGGAGGTGAGTAAAAGCACGAGGAAGAATCTTCACTGTTTATGCATTTACATCTGTTAATTGTCCTTCTTTTCACAAGTCAGAATGTCTTCCCAGGAGACCTAACTGGCAATTACCGTGTATTTTCCTTACGGTTCTGTCTGACTGCTTCCCTATGCAGTATCTTTTACAGCAGTTTTTTTTTTTTTTTTAGTTATTAATGATTTCATTCATATACGTTATAGATTGCTATCCCTCTGTGTTCTTTTTAAAATCTGATTTATGGCTTTAACGATAAGAGAGTCACACTGAGAAGTAGCATTGTGCTACTTCAAATGAAATATATCCTCTTAATTTCATTTTCTCTGTTGATGACAACAGTAGAAATTGACTCTTTCCATCACTGGTACTTCATCTGGACCTCTGTAAGATGTTTAAAAGAGCTAGCATCTCTGCAAAGAAGTGAAATGTGAAATGGTGTGTTAATCTGTGAAAGCAATCATGAAAGCTTGTGCCCATAAAGCTTTTATCTTAAGCTTTAATGTCTGTCCATAAATGTTAATTAAACCCCTCAGTGCTCATGTGAAATATAATTTTTATTTTCCAAGGTCATCAACTAATATGGACTGCTCTCAGACGTTATGAATCTAGTTCTAAGAACTGATCACAAAGTTTGCATTTTAATTGGCTTTCTTAAATTCATACTTAGGGATAACTAGTATTTTAAAGACTGAAATTTGGCCCTTCACTCTTTTATCTCTTTGGCTTTTAGTGTTCATTTTTGAGGCAAATGAGCAGTTTAACTTCATTGGGACTTTTTTTTTTTTTTGGTAGTCTCATTTCTTTGAACTATTTTTGTTTCTTCTCTGGGTGATATGTTAGAATGTGCTCAGAGCAAGGTGAAAATCTCTTTGTGAATGCTGGAGTTATCCAGGGTCCCAAAAAACATGACAGAGGCCAGGGTTTGGTGTCAGACAGGTTGGATGTCAGTTTCCTGCCTTGTTCCCTGTTCTGTTGGTTCTACGGTATAGGGAATAATTGTAATCTGTTTGAGTCTTTGGTTACCTTATCTATAAAATGGTATTTATATCTTTTATATTTATAAATATAAATGTTTATGTTTATATCTTAAGTTTGTCATAAAAATGAAAAGATGATATATATACATATATATATTACATGTACACATTTTTTATATATATATATATATGTTTATATATATGTAATGCCCAGTGCATAGGAAGTGTCAGAGATAGAATTTACTAGCCTACTAAAATTCAAAGCTAGTTTATCATAAACATTAGCAGTATTTGTGATCTGGAAATGCTTCCTCTTTTTAAAATCTGGCTCATTTTTTTTAAGGTCCTCCTTCACCAACTAAAACTGCCAAAATGGTGAGTATACAGTGAACCTCAAATGCTTCTTCCCAACACACCAAGAGAAATGTCACATTCCCCTCTGTAAGGACAGCTCATGGTGGCAGTGGTAAGGTGATGATCACTGGAAGAATTCAGGAGCCGTACTGCCCTGGACTTGTGTCAGAAACTCGAGGGAAGCCCCTGAGTTAGAAAAAGCCCCCTAGAGAGGAGATGTCCTCTGTTAGAGGAATCCTAGAAACCCCTGCTACCCACAGTCCTGTCCTCTAAACAGTAAATGTGGACACACTGCGGTGCCTGCCTAGGGGCCATTTAGCTTCTTTGTGTTTGAGAGGAGCAAATGATGGGGCAGATGGTAACTGTTACACCTTTTCCCTGATGCCCGAAGGGACGATGTGGCAGCCTCAGATAATTTCATGGGGACTATAAATACCCACATGTAGATAACCTTCTCACTTTTAGGAGACTTTCTAGAGAATTGTGGCCTGCTGTGTTCAATTTGCTTGTTATCAAAGTGACAGGTTGTCTGACTTAAAACAGTTCTATTTTTTTTTTTTGTGCCATTCTTCTGAATAACCAAGAAGCCTTCTTAAGGGCCTGTGTAGTGAGTAAGACCTAACTAAAAACAGGCTGCACCACATACCACTGTGAAAGAAACTGTTAGGTACGCGTGTGTAGCTGCTTAAGCTCCCACGGTTGTGAGGGCGTGGCTGTACTGGCAGTTGTGTATAAACTCCTGATTTAGTTGTAGTTTGCTTGAGTTGGAATCTGTCATCTACAATTGAAGGATGGTTGTCCATAGCCATAAACCATTAGTTGTTAAAGGGAAGACCATCAGATGTAAAACAAATCAATTCTAGCCCACCAAATAGGACCCTCTGCAAATCTCCTGTTTTATGGATCAAAAGGAAAGAAACGCTCAGTTTTATGGACTGTGCCACCTAGGTACAGTGAACAGAATTTTTTTTTTCCTATTCGGTTAAAATTGCAGTATATTTTTCTACATTTCTCTGGTTCCTCTAGTCATCGCTTTTGACTCCTGCCCCCATATCTATTTCATAATGGATGCCAGAGCGGCCACGGTGACCCTCACGGTTTATAAGTTGATGGATGTCTCTGATGACCTCTCACTGCTCTGACGGGACATGTGGGGCCACGGGGAGGAGACCGCTTTTCTCTCCCCCGCCATCAGACTGGGTCCGAGTCAGCAAAGGGTCCCCTCTGGCACACTTGGCAGTGCCTGGCCCCTGCCTGCTCCCTGGCAGGCTGCTGCTCCTGCATTCTCGTCAGCATTAATTACTTTATCATGAACATCTGTAATCCCCCTCCCCTAACTCACAGTAATTCAGGACAACAAGCTGTTCTCAAAACCGATCGCCTCAGTGGACCATCAGATCCAAGCGAGCAGAGCGCGTCCATGGCATCATCAGGCAACTCCCAGCTCTTCTCACGGAAAAGTCGATATATTAGAGAAGGCATTTTGCTTGCCTGTTCTGGCAGAGTTCTGTCCGAATGGGAAAATATGAAAATATGCCACTCCATTTTCCCTTATCAGATTGCCCAGCAGTGGTGCGTTTCTCCTCAAGATATTTGAATTGGCTATTCAGGTTTTCACAGTGTCATCTTCATAATCTAAATTAGAGTTAACACTTGCTCTTTCATTTGCTTAGACAGAATGTTATCTTTAACATCTTCACCGGGAATTAAATTCGGTGAGTGGGGCGGTGGGGTTTACTGAGAACTTTATGAAGGTCTTCTCTCTCTCTTTACTGCCTTGTGTTATATCCCTATTTATCTTAAAGTCAGTTTGTGTCTTGGTGGAGAACAGGGCAAGATGGCCTAAACATAGGACTAATTAAGGCCTTTCAGTTGACAGCATTATAAGCTTTTTAAAATTTAAGTTAAACATGTTTTAACCAAGTACATGTGGCTATTTAAGTGAATCCCCGTAAGACTGTAACTTCTGGGGCTGTGACCCTGCCACCTCTGCAACTGTGATCAGTCGACATGCCCAGTTCAGGCAACAGTTTTATGAAATAATCAACCATCCGGTTTTTGAAAATACTAAGTAAGGCCCTTTTCCATTTCAGAAAACAGATAAAAAGGAAAATTCAGGAAGTTTGGAGGCCATAAATGAGCCCATTCCCCAGCCTATGCCTTTTCCGCCCAGCGTTATCAGGTCAGGATCCCCGAAATTGGATCCTTCTGAAGTCTACCTGAAATCTAAGACTTTATATGAAGATAAGCGTAAGTAGTTGTGGAATATTTCAGGAGAGCGTGCGAAAAATTAATGTGAATTTTTTTAAAAAAACTGAGACCTTCCCATCTTTCGAAACCATGTTAAAGTTATTCCTTTATTCCTATTTTAATTTGACTCTGGGCTTCTTTCGTTCACGTTCAACATTCATTCATTGTTTTCAAAACCATGTATTAAGTGCCTGCCGTCTCCCCGACATCATCGTAAGTAATGGGACTACAGAGATAAATGCATTACATGGGCCCTGCACCCAGAAGGATGATTATACCTAAATGGAAAGGACAAATATGTAATCAGTGTTTGTGAGGGTAAATATTCCTAAGGAAATAAGTACAAATCAGCCTAACAGGTGCAGTAACAGAAGGATGGACTGGCTGAACTGAGTCCCAAGCAGAGAGTGGTCCATTTTACCACTGCGGGTAATAGAAAGTGTCAGATAGGAAGGTAAGCCTTAACCAAGTCTACAAAGACAAGTGTTTATGGGGCAGATAAGAGGGAAATAAAGAAAGAATAACGTTTGCACATTGACCTTGCATGGCCTGGGTTCTGCACAGCGCTCAGTTTGCTGGGCGTGGTTGGCAGAAAAGCCAGATGGGGGAGCAGGAGCAGATTGGGGAGGGCCAGGGGTGCTGCCCAGAGGAGCCGGAGTCGGTCAGAGACACGATAGGGAGCCATGGACTAGTATTAACCCTTATCGGGATGCTATGATGGGACTTGTGTTTTGGAAAGATTTTCCTGGCAGCACTGTGAAGGAGGATGAATCAGAGGGGTGTGCGGTCTGAGGACACCAAAGAGTTGACTCCTTATGGAGCCCAGCTGAGAGATGAGAAGGGCGAGCGTGGAAGGCTCATGTTCATGCTAATAACTTACTGATGATAACCTTTTCCATAGTAAAATTACAGATTCAAGTAGGTCTAATTTTTAAAAATTTTTAAAATGTAGCTGTTTTTAAGAAATAGATCTAAATCTACCTTGGGAAACATGTCCATCTGTGGAGATGGAAATATTATATATAATTGACTTCATCCGGATTTAACCAATTGTAGAGCTTGATAGTCCCAGGCTGTATTTAGAAAGATGAAAACCAGGCATAAGCATGGCACAGCAACCATTTAAATTGCATAGCTATGGAGAACACCTTTCTTCAATCTTCCCATTCTTGGCCTGATACAGTCTTAGTATTGGTGTAACTAAGCAATCCCTTCGGTCTTCATCCATAAAGTAAATGAGCTAGACTCGTGAGTCATTTTTATCTCTGAAGTTCTGTGATTCGAATAGAAAATATATCTCAAAAGAGATCGATTGCTTCTAAGGAAAATTGCCAGGATTTATCCTATATAACATTTCACTTTATTTATAAAGTTCCCTGACGTGTTTCTCTTTTCCCTTCCTAGTGAATACTTCTTATAAATAACAATGATATTTTCCCAGAGGTAAAATTTTAGTCTCAAAGTAGATTTTCCTGACTTAATATTCTGGTAAATACGACCTGCCCTCTGGGGTCAAGATCGTGTGGGCTACGAGCCTGGACCCTGGAAATCAAGCTGAGTTTAAATCTCAGTCTGCCACTTATCTACTGTGTGATACTGGGCAAGACACTGGGCACTAGTTCCTCAGCTAGAAAATGGGGCTAATAATGAGTATTAGCTGTTGTTTATTGTCTTTTAAAATATCATTGCTAAATAAATAAATTAAAATAATATCATTTTGCAAAAGTAGGCTAAGTAATCAGAATGCTTTTCTGAAACAAAGGTATTAAGTTAGGAATAGAATTAAGATACTTTATTCTTTATTCTAGGCACTCTTTTCAGGATTTGCCCAAGTGTTAATTTAAATAATTTGTACCTATCAGATATCAAATGCAAATTGGATAATTCGGAGTTTAATATTGATTTGAAGGCATTAGGAGCTAATGGCAGTGTAATACCGAGTACGTGGAAGTGAGGGTGAATATTCCTCGGCAATCTTGATGCAAAGTTTTGTTTGGAGCTCAAAACAAAGATTCACGATTGAACTTTTTGTGGTTTTATATATACTCTTGTGTAATTTTTCACCTGTCAAAAAGTTGTAAGGGTATAGTTTATTGAACTCTATAGTATTATTCTATTAAATAGTGAACTTTGCTGTATTTTAATCCTTTTAAAATAAATCTAAGTGTTTATTATTTTTTGTATTTTCTGGTTTTTCTTAGCACCAAACACCAAAGATCTGGATGTTTTTCTTCGGAAACAGGAATCAGGGTTTGGCTTCAGGGTGCTAGGAGGAGATGGACCCGACCAATCTGTAAGTTTAAATACTTGAGAATTTGGCTGTTCTTGTTCAAAACTTTTAAGTGGCAATTTGGTAGAATGTGATGGTTTGATTTAGTTTTCTATTTTTGATTTTTTTAAAAGATTTTGGTTAACAGTTTCATTAATATGAGGAAGAATTGCATTTTTCTTAGTGTCATACTCCCTTAGTTAACTCGGTACAGCTGAGGCTAAAACTGTAGATAAAAACTGAATGTGTAAGCTACAATTTGGACAGTCATTAATTAATTTCTCTATGTGCCTAAAGTTTATTTGACATTTTTATTTCTTTTTTGCCTTTATTAAACAGATTTGAAGACATTTTCCTTTTCTAGGAGACCTATAATTCAAAGTCCTGTTATTCTCTATCACTATATCTTCTGAATGTTCCATAAACAATTGGCATGAACCGTGCATGTTATGCCACCTAATCTTATTAATGGATAGACATTTTCATGCTCAGTAGTTTGCATGCCACTTCACTTGTTACCTGTGCAACTAGAAGAATGTAAAATAATTAATGTTTCCGTTCAGAAAGCATGAGGGTAACTTTGGAAAGCATTTAAAATCTAGAATTTTATTTATACATGATTCTCATGTAAAGTTAGACTACAAATGTAGTGGTTATTATTTTTAAGTTTTGCCCTTAGTTTGAATAACAAGGACATGATATGCTTTGTAGAATTTGAGAATAATATCAAGAAAGACTACATTTTATCGTGCGTAGAAGTTAGGAAAGCAACAGTCTTTTAAAATGACTGGCTTCATTCTATTTCTGAATAGAAAATTTTTTTACATAGTAGAAGTATATTCTAATTAGTCATATTGGTTACAATCAAAGTAATCATTAGAGACCAAAAAAGCTTAAGGCAGATTGCCTCATGTAGTGCAAATATAAGGTACCTTGATTGTTTCTGATGGTAGATGTAATTTTGTTCATTGCTTTCTATTTTATTGATACTCATAGTGTTCACTTAGACACTTTAAGAATTTATCTCAACCTGGGAGAAACCTTTCTCTTCTCTTAAATGTCAGGCTTTAGCAGCTCTGAAGCTAGCCCAAATGTTCAGGATTACCTACCTCATTATAGAATTCTTTTTTTTTTTTTATACCTACAGCACACAGTCTTCCTAGGTGGTCTCCCATCCAAGTACTAACCAGGCCCAACCCTGCTTAGCTTCCGAGATCAGACATCGGGCTTGTTCAGGGTGGCATGGCCGTAGACCATGGACCCCGGCTCTGCTAGGGCACGAACCCAGGATCTTCTGCTGTAAAGCAGACGTGCTAACCGCTACACTATGGAACGCTAGGGCGCGAACCCAAGATCTTCTGCTATAAAGCAGACTACACTATGGAACCACGTCCCTCATTATAGGATTCTTATAGCCGACAAGCAGAATGAACTAGATCTGTTTCCCTAGATACAAGAGGACCTTGGACCACTCTTAAAATATTTACTGCTTTGAGATTTAGAAATAAGAAATGTTTCTCTGTTTTACATACAGAATTTGTACTGATAGCTACACGTGATGGGAATATCGTAAGAATTATCCCAGTTGCCATGAGCAGTGTGTAGAAAACTTTCCTGGTGGCAATAGACTTTTCTTACTTTTGTAGCTACACCACAGAATCGCATTTCCTGAGCTTAACGTTTCCGTTTTGCTGAGAAGGAAGTGATGGTGGTACTTTTTAAGTTATCGAGCGACTTTGTATTTTCTATCTTCTTTGGACTCAACCCAGAGGATCCAGAGGGACAACGTAATGTGGCTATTTGTGGGACCATTTGGGAGGATGGTCACTTTCTAAGATATCATCACCTTTCTGAAGTCTGTTTTCACGGTTGAACTACAAAAATCTGTCCGCTTGCACAGCGCTGAGGCAGGAAGTCATTACCTGAGTGAAGGCTCTCTGTGGGTCTCAGCTGGCCGCACAGACCAACTTACACCTTGTTATCTTATCAGATATACATCGGGGCCATCATTCCCCTGGGCGCAGCGGAAAAGGACGGTCGGCTCCGTGCGGCTGATGAACTCATGTGCATCGACGGAATTCCTGTCAAAGGCAAATCACACAAACAAGTCTTAGACCTAATGACAACTGCTGCTCGAAACGGCCACGTGTTATTAACCGTCAGAAGGAAGATCTTCCATGGTGGTACGCGAACCTCTCCACTCTGATAAGTTAAAGGAACAAAGTGACTTGAGTCCACTTTCTATGTGGTTTTGCAGGTTATTTTACATATTATATTCAATGGTGCATGAGATTACCTATTTGGTGTCATCCGGGGCCTTCCTGTGGAAGGCCATGAAGGTCAAAAGCATTCAGAAATAATAATACTGACAAAAAGGGAAATAAACTTGGGGCCTCTATGTTAATATTAATATATTGATGAATTTATCAGGTTAAATCTGTTTCTTAAAAACAATTACAAAGTCAGTCATACTGAGATTTCCCATTCACTGAATATCAAAAGATTTTGGACCCTGATGGAATCTTAACTATTCAAACAGGACAGAATTTATCAAGTGCTTACTATGTCTCAGACTCATGGATTCTTTTATTTAATCTTGATAACACTGTGGTGTAAGTACTCTCATTATCTAGTTTTCACAGTTACTTACGGAAGGTTGAGAGACACATAGCTAGTAAGTGTAGGGCCGGGATTTAAAACGAGTGTTTAATTACAGAGCCCAGGAGCTAAACCATTACACTAGGAGACGACTCTTACATTTTCCTCATAATAGCTTTGTGAATATTAAATAGGGATTTTTAGAAGTAAATTCTTGCCACTTTAAAATTTTAAAAAGACGACCCTGCAGCACAAGACTAAGCCTCACGTAAGTAGGCACATTTATCCATTTTGTTATATGCCGGATTCCCAGCACTTAGAAGAATGCCTGCTGGATACAGAGTGGACGTCAATAAATGTGTGTTGACTTGTCGAACATCTGAATTAGTCTTAAAAATGAGGAACCCGTGTTTCTGATTGCAACATCCAAAGTAAAGACCTGCCTCTCTTCATAAATGCCAGACGTACAGAGAGGCGTTAGAGGTGTGAACGCAGTGTTGCCTCTACTTGTGCTGGAGTCAGAACAGAACTACATACAGTGAAAAACAGGCTGTTATACAGCTAGAGGTTGGCTCTCTATTGGACAGCATCACGAGGCAGTTTCATGGTACTTTGATATTGTTGGAGACATTAAACCAATTCATTCTAACCATGCATTATACAAAAAAAAAAGCTTTATTTTTCATTAATGTTTGGATGGAATGATGGCACTTTATTGAGATTCGAAAACATATTCTCATAATCATGTAGATTTTAAGCCAGAAGAGACCTTATACATGTCTATTCACTGATGGCAGTGTGTTGCAGTTGTTGTTAATGGTTTATATCAAATGATGGCACAGAATATGCCTTTTAAAAAAATCAATCAGCACTAACTTGTGTCATTCTTGACTAGGGGAAAAAGGTATAGATTAACTGCCCATTTGCTGGCGAGTCCATATGACCTAATCTGTGCCTGGGAGTTTGCCGTTCATGCGGACAGCGTGCCATGTGCCTGCAAACCGCCCTTGGGTAACTCATCTGACGTCACCAGGCAGGAAACTGCAGCTGTAAAACATGATGCATTAGGCAAAGCCTGTGGAGGTGGCAACTGTTCTCAGATGGGAATGGGCAGCGTCCCCTGCCGCAGTGACCTCCCCAATGGCATACATTTCAGCCCCTGCACTAAATTATATTTAAAGTTGATTTTTAAAAGGAAGTGTACGGTGTTGTTTTTCATTATCAACTTTCGTCAGAATTGCTGGTCAAGATTAAAAACGCTGCTGGAATTAAAACAATTTCAAGAATTTTTTCACTACCAAATTTTGCGAAAGCTTCGAAATGCTGTCTTTAAATGAGGTCACATTGTGTCTTTTTTCTAATTTTTGATGTTAAGAGCCTTTAAGAGGTCAAGGGGACTGCCGCTACCTACATCTGCACTCAGTACGTCCACAGCTCACGCCCGAGTGAGGCGGGGGCTGCTGCTCTGTGTTTTAGGTTATTAGAAATGAAATTTTCTAGAGAAAGGCCCAGCACAAAAATGAGTTATCAAAAATTTTGATCCAGAAACATCAAAATCAATCATATTTATTGTAGAAAAACAACCGGAAGACGACAGCCCTCAAGCCTTCCTCTCAGCACAGAATGGTTCTCCCCGCCTGAGCCGAGCCGAAGTCCCAGCCAGGCCTGCGCCCCAGGAGGCCTACGATGTCGTGTTGCAGCGGAAAGAAAGTGAGGGATTTGGCTTCGTCATCCTCACCTCCAAAAACAAACCGCCTCCAGGAGGTAAGGGCTGCTGTGTCCTGCAGTCCCTCCCCACAGTTCCTGTTTTCTGAGACTCCCACATCCTGTTTTTTGAATCTCCCATAATTCCTATTTTCTGAGTCTCCCACAATTCCTGTTTTTTGAGTCTCCCACTGGTGTTTATGGAACTAATTAAGAATTATGTACAAATTACCTTAGAGACTTAACGTTTTCAGAATGATGAATATTTTCTTTTTTTTATAAATTAGGTAATCTGAACCAAACCTTCCAGACTCCAGGTTTATCCATCATCTTAGATTCCAGAAAAGAAGTCTTAGTAGCTCAGTTTGCATCAAGATTATATTGTGGCAGTATGTCAGGGATGTGACTTAATAGATTTAGTGAAAGAACAATGCTATTTTTTTAAAAAAAAAAATGGGGGCATAGATCTGTTAAGTTACGAGAAATTGTGTATGCAGAAATGAATTAAATGCTAGAAGCAGTTGAGAAGCAAAACAGATTACTAGAGAAATCTTGACCTAAATATGTCTTAGATTGTCCTTTTGCGTTATTTAATAATAATCGCCATAATCGTCTCTTTAGAGCCATATCCTAGCTCTAAAGAGACCTTTTTGAATGGTAAAGAGGCATTCTTACCTTTATCATGCTTCATCCAAAGGTAAAAATTTTGTCAACCTTGAAAAATTAATCTAAATATCCTGAACCTGGTTTAATGGAATAGTCTCATCTAGGAAGGATGAATGTTATCTATTAATTACTTTAACAAAAGAGGAATTACCTCTTGTATGTTCAAGGCCGTTATGATTCTGCAGATTAAATGTTTGTTTTGCTGTTTCTAAGATTTATCTCTAGGTATAATTGTAAAATCCAGATGAATATTTGTGTCTCACGTTTGTCTGGTAACTTTATTTTTCTGAGTCAAATGATAACAATCTTTGAACATGTGAAAATGGACTCTTGCCTTTGCCAGTGGATTTGATTATATCTTGAGAAATGAGATCCTTTTAGACTAGGTGGTCACTAAAATCTCAGTAAAAAAAGAAAACACTTTCAGGAAAGTGTTGTGAGCCAAACCAATTTGCAAAAATCTTGCTAAAATTAATGCAATTGTGTAAAGGAAGAAGATTCTGTGACATGGATGAGTTATTGCTATAGTGTCAGGTCACTGCTCACTGATACTGCTTTCCATTTTCCATAAGCAGTTGCTATGGTAACACTTGGAACTGGAACTGTCACTGATGCTGTGAGGATGATTATGTGGCCTGTGTCAGAAAAATGGAAGAAAGCAGCTTTTAGGTGGATTTTAGGTTGTATCATTGGAAATCTGTATTTCCAAAAACAAATGACCATTTTAGATAATCGTATTCCCGTTCGAATACTGTACAATGATCCCGGGCTTTCAGATCAACCAAAAGAGTGAAAGAATATTACTCAGTGTGATGGATGCTAAGCACTTTTTATATTGAAGATATTCTTTCTCTGGCACTATAAAAATTAGGGGAGAGTCTAGTGTTCACCATAAAACTAAGCAAGGTAGAGGAATTTAGTAAAATAAGTTCCATTCCTTAAATACGTTTAACATTTTTATATCGATTTGTTTATATTTAGAATTTATATTACATTTTAATATATGTTAAATAGCTTATTTGTTCATATTTATTTTAAAAAGTATTTGTATACCTATTCGTTTAAATTTTTTCTTCGTATTTTGATGGTTTTGTGTACCACGTAGATCGCTGTATAAGATGGTGCCATTAAGTATTGGACTTTGTAATCAAACAAACTCGAATTCAAACCTCGCTTAGGTCTTTTAATAGCCGTCTGATCCGGGACAAATTACTTACCCTTTAAGAGCTGCAGTTTCCTCTGTAAAATGAAGAAGATGCTAACACTTCCTGTCTCATATGAGCTTGCAGATTAAAGGAGATAATGCACGTGAAGCCCTTAGCCTGCACCTTCCGCAAATGTTAGCTGCCGCTGCTTGTTGTAGCTTCTGCTGCCATCATCATTATTGTTATTTGTAAGATTGTTTGTCACACTGTCTCTTGATTTTTTTAAAAGAACCTTTAAAAAGTTTATTAATATTTGAGTAATGAGATGGGAAAGAAAGCCCAATTAAAATGTAAAATCGAGGCAGCAGCTAGTGCGTGGCAGGAAATGAGTGTTTGCAGCTCATTAATTATCAGCTTGAATGGTAAATTAGGCTTAGGTTGTCAGTGAATTTTATATAATGTACTTGAGATTTGCAGTCGTGGTGCAAAACCAGAATTGATAATTTCACTGAAGTGCTAGTTAATAATCTCACAGAATGCTGAGCAGCCCTGCAAGCAGTCTTCTTGGACCTCCATTCATCTCTTATAGATAGAAGACGGGGCCCGGGGTAAGCTGGGGTGAGGCGCCTC